TTAAAGCGGCAAGATGGAAGAGGTGTTCTACATATGTTAGAACAAGAATTGCGAACGAAGGATGCAGAATCTTATCGCCAATTTATTAGAATGTGTGGACAACATTTTGATGAACTTCTTGAATGTATACGAAGTGATATTGTGAAACAAACCACTAACATGAGAGAGAGTATTTCTGCTGAAGCAAGGTTTGAGATATAAAAAAGTTAATTCAAATTTAATTGAGTTTTACAGGTTAGCATTAACTCTAAGATTCCTTGCAACAGGAGAAACTTATCGATCTCTAATGTTTGCCACCCGAATACATGAAAGCACCATTAGCTTGATAATTCCTGACGTTTGTAATGCAATCTGTGAAAAATTAAAATCTGTATATTTACAGGTACATCATTTAACAGGCTCTCTAGCCAGAATTTATAATAAGGGCAGGCCCACAAAAACTCAGGGCAGACTGAAATTTTATATCAAAATGTAAAGAGCTTGTAGTTTTTTTGCAGTACTTTCATTGATTTTGTTTTGTTCGTAAATGTATACACTCAATCTGAAATCAGAATGACATTGACAGAGTAGCCATATTTTATATTTACATAATTATACACATAAAAAAAATACGAAGAATATGGTTATTTATTTTAGAAAAGTTGCAGTCGTCTGCTCTTCTGCTGATTAAATTTTCTCAAAAGTGAGCGAAGTTGAGATTTTTTTCGATTTGTTCGAATTGCAAGCAGGATCAAATTTGACATTCGTTGATTGACCACATAGACAGTCGCTGTGGACGGTGATCTTGTTAAACCGAGAACGTAGATTCACACCTCCAGTGTTACCACTCAAACACCCTGGCAGTCGCCAAAAATTGCTACAGGTCGCGAATGCAACTCGTTGCGGAAAATTATGCAAAAGACAGCTAAATCACAGGGTTCTCTTTCTTTTGACGTTTATAAATCGTTACAACTAACAATTCTTCGAGATTGGCAGTTTTACACCCAAAGTTTTCCAAATATTTAATTTTGTCTTAAAATCGATATTTTCAGTCTTCACACTGGAAACGTGCAAATTAGCAGCTCATGTTGTCTTCCAAATCTTACTTTCATTTCAGTTAAGATAACATCCAGGTTCATAAATATTGACAATGAAGTATTTTTCATTTTGGTCCACTCTTCTATCTTTCGCCCGTTTTATCATATACTAGTATCCTAAGAGTGTGTTTGTCTTTTTTGTCTTTTTCTGAAGTGTGAGTATCATCTCAGCAACATGAAACCGGTGTTGATTTTCTCATCCAATCATTTTTATAAACGCTTTCATTTCTGTAGGAAGTAAGAAGAATTCACTACGATTTTATAAGCACAACAGAGTCTCTCAAAACTCGCTTCTGGCGATGAAAGTAATTTATCAGCAGGATGAATAGTTTCTAACCACTTTTTTCATGAAACACCAGTGCAAAATCGGAATTCTTTAGCGAATAATTCAGTAAACCAGTACTTTCTTACAACATAATCGGCTCGATATGCCCTGCCTTCATATTTTTTCTACCTTGATATATTTCCAATAATTATTGAAAATTAGACGAGAACGTCCAAATGACCGCTCCAGCGCTGTTCCAGAAGGCGACACAGTACGTGTCCATCGTAAAATTTTTGATAAACTCCTTTCTTTAAGAAACATGTAGAGCATGGCGCATTACGAGTATTGCCTAATTGTGGATATTTCCTTGAAGCTTTGTACAATTACTAGATGCAATCGATGATTGCGCATGCACGTATGGAATTACTCTGTCAAGCGCTGTTGGATAAGGTTTGCCACTCCCCCTTTGTGGACCACTCATAACAGCTGCTCCATCATAACACTGACCAAAATTTTGGAAGTATCTAAGCCATACTCGTAAGATGCTAAAGTTAAGTCTGTAAATGTTTTAGCGTCCAAATCAGTACAAGTTTTTATTTTTAAAATAGATTCCTTCACCTTCCGCAGTAACGTACTAAGTCCAATGGCAATGTTCTCACGATTGTTTTATCGTGCGTACCATCTTCTAAATTACTGTACCATGAACATCAGCATGCGAATATCATTATAATGCCTTTCGAAACCATTTCTGCCATTATGCGATCAAATTATTTGAATCTCCGGAGATAATACGTCGCATTAGCTGCGTATGTATTTAACAGATCAGCAAGTATTATCTTAAAGAGTAATGTATATGCAAAAAGGTCGAAATAAGCCGTTGCTCGATGTTCTTCAATTTTCATATGCTACACGAAAATGCTAATTCATTAATTGCCAGAAACTGAAATAACTTTTGCAATGGACTATGTAATACCTATGACGTTCAAAGCACGACATCTGACCATAGTGATACCGAAAAAACTGTTTTTCTTGACGTTTCTCTTTTCATGCCACATCATTACAGCTGTGATATGAACTTCAGAGGAGGCTGTTTTTGAAAACCTTTATTCTACTTAACGCCATTTTCCATTTCAAACCCGTCAAGTAAAGGAATTTCTTTGCTCCTAAAGAAACGAAATTGTCGACAAGTAAAATAACAAAAGCCGATCTGCCATTACTGAATATTCCAGCCATTTGAATCTTGAAACCATTCTGCTTGAAACTTCTTGATCGTTATTTTAGGATAAGCCGATAAAATTATGTTGCAGTCGAGATCGCCATTTGCAGAAATATCACTGAAGTCCTTGCAAAGATTTGATCGACACTCTAATACTACTAGGGGAAACTGTGTACTAGCTGCAGACAAGTGAGGGTTCGGAAATTTTTAAGGATTATTAATTTCATCCCCTGGTGCAACGATGGCAGGTTTTCCTTATCAGAATTATCCAGATTGAGAATAAGTTGAAAAATCATTTCATGTGCATTTCGAATGTTGAGTTTATAGAACTTAAAAATGAAAAAAAAAATTAAGGAAGATTTTTGAAAAAATATATGTAAATCGATACATATCTCCTGACAATTCAATCATATAGCTCTGAGTGAACAAGCGAGCGAAATTGTACTGTCTAGCCAGTAAGCCTAGCATTTTGTGTCATGTTCTTGCCCATTGAATGTTTAAAATATATAGGTACATATATAAATCTGAAATAAAAAACTGTTGCCTTTGGGTAATTTCGTTTTACCACTTACCATTGTTTATAAATGAATAAGCAATGACTACTTCGGTTCGCTGGACGCTCTCATCTCAGATTTGTTTGCAAAAGAAATTATAGAACAGCTCATAGAAAAGTCCTTAATCATGTATAAAAAGTAAATTATAAAGTAATTTAGTAAAAGTTACTTCACTAATTACGTTTGAAAAAATTTCACAGTAGTTAGGTACCTCTTACCTACCTAGTTATAACATAAGCGCCGGCCGTCGCAAAGAGTTTACAATCACTATCACTGACACCGTCGGTCGTTACGACTTCCACAATCCACTGCAATCAAAATTGCTAATTGCACAAATAACTTCCTATAGCATAGCGTAGTGTTTTAATTCAAGACTGAAGACAGTTCGCGCAAAACACAAACGAAAGAAATACAAGGCATTGGTGCGGTGCGACTGCATTAATGCAAAGTGCAATGAATTATAGTCATTGCTTATGTGTATGTCTAATCTTACGAGTACAAACGAAATTATATCAAAATATATTTTTAGACTTTTAGTACACCCGGAAATTATAAATAAAATTTTTGAAACCAGACTAGGGCAGGCTTAAAATTTTCCAGGGCAGGCTCAACCTGCCCTGGCGTACTCCTGCATACGGCCCTGCATTACTATGTCCATATTTGTGTACTACTGATTTTGCTTTAGATGCCAACTACAGAATTGGAGTGGAGAGTTATTGCCTCCGAGTTTCAAAAACATTGGAATTTTCCATTATGTCTAGGTGCCATTGACGGAAAACATATAAATTTTAGGCCTCCACGAAGTTCAGGATCATACTACTTTAACTATAAAGGGGATCACAGTATTGTGCTTCTTGCAGTTGCAGATGCATCTTACAAATTTCTGTACGTTGATATTGGTGTCAATGGTAGAGTAAGCGATGGAGGAGTTTATAGAGAATCCTCCTTAAAATGGGCAATAGATCATAATACATTAAACTTTCCTCCCCATGAATGCTTACCTGGTCAAAATACACAATTGCCTTATACATTTGTAGCTGATGATGCATTCCCTCTGTCAACGAGAATCATGAAACCGTATCACAGTCGTGGATTGACAAATGAGCGAAGAATATTTAATTACCGATTGTCACGGGCAAGACGAGTAATTGAAAATTCGTTTGGCATCTTGGCCAATAGGTTCAGGATTTTATTAAATACAATAAATTTGAATCCTGATAAAGTTGAACTAATTACCTTAACTTGTTGTATTTTACACAACTTTTTATTAGAAAAAAATCCGAGATATTTAGAACCATCTGAAAATACCGAGGATAATATAGGTAAATTGAAAAAGTTGACAGATATGCAAGGTGGCAATAGAGCTGCCAGTGAAGCTTTAGAAGCACGAAATTTATTTTCAAGATTTTTTGTTACGAATGGGGCAGTACCATGGCAGAACGATGTTTTGTAATGACAGTGGTTATTTTGAAATTAATATAAACCAAAAATAGTATTGTTTCTTTCATTTAACACTTGTTTACATATTTACAAATCATTCGGCTTCTTCAATTTCGGCATTAAAAATCAGGGTCTCAATGTGATGCTGTAGTTTCAATTTCCTTTTTCTGCTTTGAATTGCACCGATCCGTGAACATATATATTTTGCGTATACTTCATCGGGATCTTCTGTGGAAGTCCCAAGTACCGATGACACTGCGGTAGTTAACTTATCTAATGCTTTCGAAGCTTTTTCGGTAACGTCGACATTATGATTTCTGTCGTCTTTTTTGTATTTTTTCCGAGCAGATCTACAAGTTGCAGTTTCTCCCACATATACATTATCATCGTTGGGAACTGGACTACCGCTTCGTATAAGGTGTAATGAACGTAAATTTTTGAACAAGTCCCACAAATAGAAAAATATAATTGTACATAATGAAGTACGGTTAGAGGTTTTGTTATGCACGCATGTAGCGGAGAATAGTATACTTGTGAATGTAGATTGTAGTTATTGATCTCCAGTGGCGGAGACATTAGGAATTTCGTTGTTAATCATTTGTTCCCGTTGGCTACTGTTTTTACGCAAGCAACTGTTTTGCTAGGTTAGTAGTTTACTTATTATAGGATCCAGTCATCAATTTAAGGGCTGTAAGCGGCCTGCCATGTTTGTCAATGTAGGGAACGTCTATGTTGGTTTATCTGAGGAATTTTTGGAGGTCTTTAGGTCAGAGCCGGTATCTTCAAAACCGATAATAACGTTGAAAATCCTTCCTTTTTGATCACCGACCGTTGTGGCACTCCCATGTTTGAGAAAATCGTTAAATCCTTAATTATTGGAAATTTGTCAGTACTCCAGTCTTCTGGGTTAATTACGAAAAGCGATAGTAATTGGTATTGCCGTGTATCATTGTGGATACGTTTATTTTGGGCAATTCTTCACCTTTAGTGTGGTTTTGTTATCGCTTAACGTTCTGAGGTAAGCGCCATTTTGTACACATTGTAGATTGGTAACGATGTTCGTTCTTTTAAGGCTGACTGGATTGGGAAAAAACCCTGTACGTGTATTGCACTGCTTATTGGTTGAAATTGTTCAACGTAGGGATATTTCCGAAAATTGTACAGGTACGGCTTGAGGCTTTGAAATTCCAAAGACTTATTCTTTTGACCTTTTAGGGTTTTTTTTTGTATTATTTGTCTAATTTAATAAATTACCTTCAAACTGGGAATCGGTAAATGGAATGCATATGTTTGGCTTGGCTGTGATTGTTGAAGATTGTTTACCTGCGAGTGGTGGGTGTTAATTGTACATCGCCTACCAGCTTTTATCGTCACCCCGTATTAGAAAGTGGTGTCGCCTGGTCCACGCCATCTAGTGGGCTGAATGGCCATCTGGAACTGTACAACCGTCTCAGAAGCTGCTTCAATAGGATAAATAAAATACTCAAATAACTTACCAAGGCAAGCTCGACTGCAACTACATTACTCCCTGTAAGTTCAAACCCGTAAGTACTTTTGTTAAGGGTATGGCCATACTTATCAAGCATATCAGCACGCCTATGTGATCTGTACAGTAGGTACGTTGTCTGTTTATTATTGTTATAATCTTATATACTTACCGGTTAACGAATATTTTATTGTTGCCGCAGTTTTGCTTTGTTGTTTGTTATGTACCCATGCAGCATCTGATTTTAGCTACCTATTTGCTTATTTATTATATGTATTGAAACAAGGTTGAGTTTTCTTACCGAACATCTGATCGGCAGAGTAACGAGGCAACCGAAGCTGCTAGGAATCACGCCTGGAGAGGTGGGTATCATTACCCGCCGATATTTGGAATAGTTTCTCATGCTCGTCTGTAGTATCATTGTGTAGATTGTCCTCTTATTGTAGTATTCTAAATTTACAGTGATAGTAATTCACCTTGAGGTTGCAACTCATATTCGCCCTCTAACAGACTAGTTGGAGAAATTCACCTTGAGGTTGCAACTCATATTCGCCCTCTAACAGACTAGTTGGAGAATCAGTTAAATAGTTTTCGCTTTCTTCTGTAGCGTACGATGAAACAGACTTTCTTATATTTAAATGTTCGTTTAGAAATACCAGCTTTTCGTAATACCACAGCGATGGTATGTAGATCTGAAATGATACCTAATTTATATTTTCTGTACATAACTAACAGTTTTAACTCACGTCTTCTGACCCAGCCCCACTACGAGAGCTTGCAATGGATTTCCTTCGTTCACTGGCATATGTATTTCTAATACCATTCCATTTCTTCTGGATTTCATGTATGGAAGTATTTGGACGTATTTGATTCATTTTTTCGCAAATTTGTTGTAACGCAGCATTTCTTCGGTTTTTATTATGATAATCGCGATGTTGAACAAAGTATAAACACTCGTGCTGTTGGTATTGCTCAATCAGCAATGAAACCTGATCATTTGACCACGACATCGCGACATAAAAGAGTTCTTGGCGGTTGATACAATTTCAAAATGTGTTTTGTAAAATATTTACATATAGGTTATGAGCAAGGTCGATATCCACTGAAGTTAGTTCTTGAACAGCTGACTGTTTATTAAAGCAATACGCATGCTCACATCTGAAATATTACCAAAATTTGTATGGGAATAGAACAAGTTCTATTTTTCATCACATTTTGTATACATTTTGATATGAAAGCTATTAATTTCTGTTTTAGACGGTCATAATTCATTTGTTTATAAATTTGGTAACAAATATATTGTAAGAAATGTTACCGTCTAATACAGGCTTTTAGTTTCAACACACGGATATCTTTTTTAATACTATAGGTAATCTTATAACAAACATACCAGATTTGTGAACTGTTTCATCTATCAACTTTCCCTCAAGTATATTTAATTCATCATCACTATGGCAGGGAAAATTGTTGTAGATAGGAATAGAGAGCCGTAACAGTTAGTTGCCGAAACTCATGAAATAACTGGTTCATGACATGAACCTCTTTTTTCCACTCCCTCACCTCGAATTTTACTTCGGCCATCTTGGTAATCATATCTTTAACAATTGATTTAATTTACAAAAAATACGTACCTATCTCATTTTCTACATTTGATGGTGGGAATGAATAACATTTTGATATTAAAATGTCAATTTGATCAGTACATTATTGCAACAGGTCCGTGAACATGAACGCCAAACTGAGAAAAATGAAAATTGAACATTTTCAGTGTTTTGACTACCTTTTGGTCTATTTTCATGTTTGCAAATGTTATACAAACACATAACACCAAGTTTGGTTATGACCACTAAATAGTCAATATTTCCTCAATTTTATTTGCTGCGTTCACAGATCCGATTACCTGTTGTACGTATATGTATAAGTAGCTATCTACCATCAACATCTGAACTGGAGGCGTCGAGTGTTAGCTGTACCATTTCCTTAGCTTTAGTCCTATCGTTTTGTCGTCCCCTTGCATATAGCGGAACATTCGTGGTAATCTAGGAGATGATTTGGAGGTTCGCAATCATCGATCATTTTTCGAATGCGAGCCAGGCCTCTAATTGAGGGCCACAAATATTGATTTTTTTGAGAATTTACAGCCCAAAATGAAGGAACATACTCACAAGAAGTTTCTAAAATTAAAATGTTTGTTACTTGATTGATGATAATGCTGAAATATACCTTCTGTGAAGAGGACTATATCCCAGCTAGCGCTCATCTCACCGGCTATTTGATACTTGGAAGACTTTATATCTAAATAATAATTTTACATATAATTATTAATTATGTATCCCTAAGATATACATACTTAGAGAATGAATAACAATCATTGTTAATTTTAGAATTATTTCATAATGTCGCAAGTGACAAGCACTGTACCGAGCATACATAATCTACGAGCCCTATTGCATAATGGATTGCCCAAATGTGATTTTTATTCTCATTTTAGAAAAAGAAATGGTCCACTTTTATTTTACCTTTTTGTTAAATAGGGGAGACTGGGGAGCAATGATACATAGGGAGGTTTGATACTGATATTTATTTTCCGTATAACAACCTGCAGTCAAAAATGCGCGTAGTTATATTATTCTCTAATAGATGCCAGAACGCTGTAACGAACGGTTAAAGTCCCTAGATTGGTAGAGTGATTTGTCCACTCCTTTGGAGTTAAAATGGCCGCCGATAACATCTGACGGCATCGTGTTGATATCATAACCACAGATCATAACCTGCTTTCGTTGATATAGCTTAAATTTTTATTTGCAGTTGTCACTTCAGTCCCGGAAGTACGAAAATAAATTTTTGTAGATTTATCTAGATTAAATGTGACGTCTTTTCAAATTTCCCACCAAAGTGTTGGAGTCAAAATGGCGTCAATTGCGGTACTCTACCAATCTAGGGACTTTAACGAACGGTGATCGTTTCACATGAGTTCTTGCTGGTTTCACAAGAAAAGTGTGATTTTAATCGTCATAATGTAAGTATACGCCTGCAATACATAAGGTTATAACTATTGGACTTCAGTTTTTATACGCAAGTTGATAGTTTCTTTGTTACTACGTTTAGAAACACGTGTTCCAACAAAATCTCGCGATTCTCAGTTTAAGGTTAGAAATGATAACACTAGTCATTTAATAATTTGCTCTTTAGGGAGCTTTGATACATGTATCAAACCTCCCATATTAATTTTTTAAAAATTAATTGCAATGATTCAATATCAATATCTGAATTTTTGACAATTTTTCTTTATAGATGCCTTTTAAGTGGAAGTCTAAGGGTCGTAAGATAAACTGTCCTGCGGATGTTAAAGATGCCGTATTAGAAATTGTTAATCAAAACGCGAAAATTAGGACAACTGCAAAAAAATATGGAATAGATAAGATGCCCCTACTGAGGTATGTGAACAAATATAAAAACGATGAGAGTATAAGTTTTTCTCCAAATTTTGTTACATCGCAAATATTCGCACCTGATGAAGAAAAAGCGCTAGAGGAGTATTTGCTAACTTCAGCAAATCTTAATTATGGCCTTACCCCGATTCAGACTAGAAGGTTTGTCTTTGAATTTGCAAAAGAAAACCAAAAAAAATTCCTGATAACTGGACCCGAAACCAAGCCGCTTCTTATGATTGGTTGAGGGGTTTTATGTCGAGAAATTCTCATTTATCTCTTCGTGCTCCAGAACCCACGAGTTTGAGTCGCGCCACTGCATTCAATAAACGTAATGTGTCTAAATTTTATAATAACCTGAGATCTGTATATGAAAAAAATAACCTAGGACCAGAATCTATTTTCAATGTAGACGAGACGGGCGTGACAACGGCACATAAGCCCCAAAAAATAATTTGCCGCAAAGGTCAGAAACAAATATCCAAGGCTACTTCCGCGTATAATATTGCTGACACTTCCGCCGCATACCAGCCATCGTCTCCAGCCTCTGGATGTTTCAGTATTTGGACCGTTTAAACACTTTTATAATGAGCATGCTGACGTGTGGATGGTGAATAATCCGGGACAAACAATATCTTTCCGAAACATTCCGGAATTAGTTGGGCACGCATATTCTCGGGCATTTATCCCTTCAAATGTTACAAAAGGGTTTTCAGCAACGGGAATCTATCCCTATAATCCTCATGTATTTGCCGATTCAAATTTTTCATGTGCGGAAGTTACCAATCGCCCTTTAAATGAAGTATCTGCACAAACCATAGCCAATACAACACATCAAAAGATGCGGTGCTTTCAAATGAGATACAAGATGTTAGTGATGGGAATAAAGACAACAGCAACCCTCCATCTCAGTTTCGGAGCCCCGAACAAATACGACCATACCCTCAGGCACCCCCAAGAAAAAATAAAGGCGGTAGAAAGCCTGGGAGGTCTAGAGTCTTGACCGATACTCCTGAAAAGCTCGCTATAGAAGAGGAATTTAAAAAAAGAAAAAATAAGCAATCGGGAAAGAAAAAAGTGGATAGTGCGAAGAGGAACGTATTTAGTGAAAGTCAAAATGTACTTCAAAGTAAAACCCAAGAATTGAGAAAATCAAAAAGAAAAGTGTTAAGTAAAACATACGTGAGCGAGAAAGGATCTGATAGTGAAAACGAAATCGAAATGGAAGGTGAAGAAGAAGATGCGGCCTGCATTTATTGTAATTCTTTATATTCGCGGTCAAAACCACAAGAGTTCTGGATTCGATGCCAAGGCTGTGACAAATGGTGTCATACAGAGTGCGCTGGTGTTAACAGAGGAATTAAAACATTTATTTGTGACATTTGTGCTGTGTGAAATTTGTTCGGTTCCCTTTTCCATGCGTCTCAACCCTCCCATTATTCGATATCAATCCTCCCACATATGGGGTGGGATGAGACATTTTGCATATTTAAAAAAAAAATTATTTTTTCAGAAATATGTTAGGTTTATTTTAGTATATTAACGATTGAAGAACTAAGTGTGTCTATGTGATATGTAAATTGTTGTTTAATTTAGGATATATGAATTTTCAAACCAAAAATGTATCAATGCTCCCCAGTCTCCCTTAACTATCGAAGGCTAACGCACTTATTTGCAATAGATTGATCAAAAAATGAGTTGGCAAATAAATAAAATGGCATAAGTGGTCCAATATAGGCAACTTACTCCTAAGTAATTCTTTGTTTACAATTTTTGTATCCTTCACTTCCTTGAAGCAGTTCGTTTGTTTGTGGTAGCATTAAACGATGTATGTCGTGTAGTTACCTTTGTATACCTAATTGTTGCCAGGACAGTACCCTAGCCCTAACGTACATCATTTGTATTTATACCGGAGTGAGGTCATCAGGACAGTAGTTTAGCTTAGTTTCGGAGAGACCAATCCCCGGAACAACACAAGGATAAACATCACTTGATTGAGCTTGTCAGTAACGCTGGCAAACTGATCGCTGAAGTGTTTCATTCCGAGTCGGAATCAAGACGCCAACTCATCTGAAAGAATTTGGACAGCCAATTTAGAGATGTATTAGATGCGGGAACCTTCACAGGCACTTTTTCCGGAGGTAAGCTTGATGAACAGGTGACAGCAGCTCGTACTTTGAAACGTTATACCAAGTGTTAAAACCACAGCGACGTTTCCACTCTCTGCATCGAAAAAGGCAATAGGAAAGTTAGGGCGAAACATACGAACCTCTAGCGGACAAGCACTCTTAGAATTAGTCATGGTTAGTAGAATCGTAGGAGGGCTGCATTTCTTTTTGAAACAATGGTATATGTTTACCCTTAATCAATTGATTTTATCTTGCATTTCGGGTTTGTGATTTCCCTGTGTTCAGAAACCAACACAAATGCATGCGCCCAAGGAATTAATCTGGTCGTCCAATGACAGGAGAGATATCTCGTAACTCGATACAAGAACTGGTTAAATTTAAAGCCATGTGTAAAGTAACCGCATGCCCTTGTGTCCAAGATTTTCTTTGTTCCAAAGCCTGATGATTCCAAAACCCATTGCGTTCGTTTGTAACTTCGGATCACTCTTTTTGCTCTAAAGCGTTCGTTTATTGGTGCATCAGAAATACTGTTAACACCGTATCGTTTTTCTATTATCAAAAAGAGCAAAAGGTACCTCCAAACAATGGATGCAATGAATATTTCTACGCATTCTCACGATTTAGTAATTGACCAGGCACGAGGAGCCGTTATTACGAATGAACGTGGAGAAAAAGTGGTACGGCCATCCAACAAGTCGATTTACTAACCATGTCTAATCTTGTAAGGAATAGTATTTATAAATCTTTTAAAAAAATATGTTTAATCTGCTAACACACCACCTATTTGGTTGACTGTATGACATTGTGAATGTTTGAACAATAATTATACTACATATACAGTTGTCATAGCATTGGATTACATCTAGTGATTACAATTATTTATAATAAAAAAATAATAAAAAAAGCATGAAGTTTCATGCAACGGAACGTCAAAGTGAGAGTCAAAATGTCACAGTTAGTAAGTCGTAAAAGCTACACAATTTAAGACTATCCTTTTGGGGTTTACAGTCACATATCAAGTTTGGACACGATGGTCTTTTCACTGTTACGTCTACTTTTGTTATTCCGTATATGATTGGGAGATTCCCGTCCAAGTGTATCCAATCTTCTGATTTCCGTGAGAGTTCTTTTCGATGATCGCGATAGCGATCTTGAGCCCGAATCCCTCTCCGTATTCGTTTGGTTTAAATAACTCAATTGGTAATCGTGCTGTCGATTACTTGACGACTGACAACAGTGTTCAAAAGCTCGATGGAATTCTTTACGAAATTTACCTGAAAAGGTAAACGTTCATGCATTTTGGAAGAAAGATAATACACTTACCACTCATGAAATTGTAAATTATAGGATTGACAGCGCTGTTTGCGTAACATAACCAGTGGGAAAACATAAAAAGGGCTTTGTTTGTATCTGTGTTCTTCATGGAAATGGTAAGCCTGAAAAGGTATAAAAAAAATATTAGTACCTAATGTGAGTGAGCAAAATTGATTGTAATTTTGTGACGTACAACCGCATGAAAAAAAAATTGTATAGCAATGTATTTATTAATTTGACTACAAAATAACTCTATCAAGCCTTGCATGAAGGTTCTGTAACATTTCAGGTCCCAACAGGTATCTTCCCTAAAATTGTATATGCAAAAATCAACGCTAGAGTCTTTACTGACCACCAGGCGAGAGTCAAGACACTCCCGTTCCTTTTTCAGAACTGCTCAACTCGGAGCACCCAGCGGCACTATTGAGCTCCAAAAAATTGTGACCCAATTTCTTGAAAACGAAAGAGATCCTAACTACAAACCCCTCCTTTCAAATTTGATTAAGAATTGCCAAGCTATGGGTTGTCGCATATGTCGCTCTAACTTCGCATGCTCCACTCCCATATACAATGACATTTCTAAGGACAGTATAGGAACGTACTCGAAAGAACGATTGCACCAGGACACTCTGGAATTATTGGCATAAGAAATACATTGCAAACATTAAAACAAAAATGCAAGATTGATTCCCAAATTAAATACTAAGTAATTAGTATCGCTGATTTTGTAATTTTTTTCTCCATCAAATGAAATAAAAATCCAATATGCCGTCCGTAAGAAATAAGTGATAAAAATTTTTATTTTAACACCATCATAAAGCTGAAAAAAATTACTAAGGGTTTGTTAAAACTATTTTTTGATTTCTCTGAAAATATATAGATGAACGTCAGCGCATTTTGGAAATTGACATTTTTTGATTTTTTTATCATAACTTCGTTATCTGTAGAGTTACAAGAAATTTTGAAAGGGAAACTTAATCTACATAAAATTATGTAATTCTTTGCCCATTTAAGCAATTTTGTATATTTTACGGTTTATTTTATTATTAGGTACTAAATACGGTGTGACTAGCCTCCCGGCTCCGGTATTCATACGAATCCCGGTTGCACTATATGACATCACGCTAGTGACGTCAGCGACGACCGGGATTATTAAAAATCCCGGATGACAACTTGGTGCGATGTTTGTAATTGTTTACACGTGAGTTTTACGTTTAATATTTCAGTAACTTTTTCTCTGGTGCTGCTTGGCAAGTTGTCAAAAATTTAATCATCGCGAAAAGGGAGCAAAACGAATGGCCGTGTGTGTTATGCAATTCAGAAATTATCAGAAATCAATCTGATTGCATTATGTGTACTTCATGCCTCCTGTGGAAGCACGTTAAATGTACAACTTTAAAGAAAATACCAAAATGTTCAAATGAATCGATTTGTTTGGAATATATATATATATATATCTTTGTTTTGTATCTTTAAGTTTTAAGAATTTTGCAACAAATTAATTTTTTTGTTTTAGATTACCTGCAGTCATGAATGTAGCATTCGAGGATGACCTACCACAAGTTGAGAATGTGATTATAAATGATGTTCCTACCTATATAACAACTACACACAAGTTTATGGGAGTAAATAGCTTTATCTTTAAAGTATTTCAAACTAATATCCGTAGTATTCATAGTAACTTTGATCAGCTGGAAGTACTGCTCGATACTCTTAATTCAAAATATGACATAATAATATTGACTGAAACATGGTCGGGTGGAAGTGGAGAGTATGCGAATCTAGATGACTACTGCTGTTATTCTAACGGAAGTAACCAGAATAAAGCGGACGGGGTCCTTGTTTACATAAAAAGTAGTTTAGTTCACGAAACAAAATTGATAAACATTGAAGGATTTATTTTTATGAGAACTCGGGTTGTTGTAGCTGGGCAAAACTTTTATATAACATCATTATATAGATCTCCAGCCTACTCTCTTGATAAATTCCTTGATATTTTTGAAAGTTACATAACTCGTTACTGCAAAAATCCATTTGAACTGGTAGCGGGTGATTTTAACCTGGATACTTTAATTAACACGAGTTCTCACAAGGATAGATACGTAAATACATTAAGTGAACATGGGTTTATTAACTGCATTACAAAACCCACAAGAGTGTCAAAGTTTAGTGAAACATGTATTGACCATTTTAACTTAAAATTTGATTTTAATCGTATCAAGATCTTGCCTATTACTACCACTTTTAAAATTTCAGATCATTTTTGTTTATCGCTGTACTTAAAATTTACTGCAACTTCTACAAAAACTAGTCAAACAGAACATGTCACACTTCACAAAATTATAGATCACAACAAAGTTAAGGCGTCTTTAGTAACTCATGATTGGGATTGTATAAACCATTTAAATTTAGACGATAGTTTTAAATATTTCTTGGATACCTTAAATAATTACATTAAGAATTTCACATATATTAAGCGCAAAAAACAACTTAAAAAGAAAAAGGAGTGGGTGACTAATGAAATTATTAGTTTGATGATAGACAGAGATCGTGCCTTTAAAAGCTATCTAAAAGATAAAAGCAATACCAATCGTCATGATGTATATAAAACATTACGGAACAATGTAAACAATCTAATTAAAAAAGCTAAAGAATCTTATTATACGAAGAAATTTTCAAAAAGTAGTTCTGCGAAGTCCTTATGGGAAATTACAAAGGAAGCTATAAATCTAGATAAAAGTAAAACCAATTATCACATGATAAAGGACGAAAATGGGAAAACGGTAACCGACGAAATAGTTATGGCTGAAATGTTTAATGACTACTTCATTAAGGTCCCGAAATTGTTAGCTGACAAGTTACAAAAATATGACTATCATAATCATAACATCACTCCAAATAAAAGTTCTATGTTTTTCCTACCAATTACTGCAAATGATGTTATGTCTTCAATCAATAAACTCAAAAAAAGTACTTCTTCCGGCATAGATAACATAACATCACTGATGTTAAAAAATGTAATAACAGAAATAGCTCAACCTCTAACTGTACTGTTTAACCGTTGCATTCTTGATGGTTACTTCCCTACAATTCTAAAAACCGCAATAGTTAAACCTCTATTTAAAGGTGGTGATCCTTGTAATATTAGTAATTTTCGTCCGATTTCTTTAACGTCCTGTATATCGAAGGTATTTGAAAATATATTAAAACTTCAACTTGAATCATTCCTTCATCGTCACGAGGTATATTCTGACAATCAATATGGTTTTAGGACGGGAAGAGGAGTGGATGACGCACTTGCAAAGTTACTCTCTAATATTTATACGGCTGTGGACTCTTCACAACCCTCAATAGCTGTTTTTTTGGATCTTGCAAAGGCGTTCGACACGGTTTCACACTCCATCCTATTTGAAAAGTTGGAATTATACGGGATTCGTGGAGTGTGTTTGTCGTTACTGAAATGTTTTGTTGCGGATAGAGAGCAAGTGGTTGTAATCAATGGTACCCTAAGTAGTCCCAAACAAGTGGTAAGTGGAGTTCCCCAAGGTTCCATCCTAGGTCCCGTTCTGTTCTTATTATACATAAACGACATAATTAATTTACGTTTTGAACGAGCTACTATAGTCTCTTATGCGGACGACACTGTACTGTACGTGGTGGGAGATACTTGGGAACAAGTCAAACAATCCACATCGTGTTACTTGTCTGTACTCGTACGTTATCTAAACCAAAACTTGCTGTCTCTCAACTACACCAAAACTCTGTATATTCCCTTTCACTCTTACAAATCTCAAACAATAGATGATGACATAAAAATCCATGAATCAGATTGCTCTCAGATTAATTGTAGTTGTGCTCTAAGTATATCTCAAAGGGACCACATCAAATATCTTGGTGTTACCATTGACAAACACCTAAGATGGGACCATCATATTACACAACTTGTGATTAAACTAAGGAGATATGTCTATCTGTTTAGAAAGTTAAAACGGTTCTGCAATGAAAATTCATTAAAAATTGTTTATTACGGCTTTGTGCAATCTGTGCTGGGATATGGTTTGTTAGCGTGGGGTGGGGCAGCTCACAAATACTTAAATAAGTTAGAGGTGGCACAGAAGCTAATAATCAAAATTATGGCTAAAAAGCATGCACGTTACCCTTCTCAATTGTTATTCAAGGACACCAACCTTTTTACAATAAATCATCATATCTTCTCTCGGTATCTCGATTTATATATAAAAATATTAATAGGCTTAAGTTAAATTTTCCCCAACACAATTACGATACAAGGACAAAAATAAAGAATTTGGCGTATAATTTAAAAATACGGAAAAAAGTTGGTCAATCTTACTTCTTGTATTATACACAAAAGCTATATAATTACCTATTAATCTACACAAATTTGTCTTTCCCTTTAACAATTTCATATCATGCGTTTATCAAATTTATTAAAGAACTTCTCCACAATAATTTCTCCCATCTTGAATCACAGATTTATTTATTATAACGGATACTCTACCCTAACTCTTTGTTTTTTATCACTCTCAACTTGTGATCGGTTCAAAAAGCGTTATTATCTACGTACACCTTGGGGTGTAGTGACAACAAGTTTTTAACTTAGTCGTTACACCTAAGGACGCTAAAAATGATATTTTAGTTATTTTCATTTTGGACATTTTTTTTTACATTTACATTATTATACATAGGTTATAGGTTTCTGTTACAACAAGAATGTAAATAAATGGTTATTATTATTATATTATATATATGTGTTGATGTGTTTCAGAAGTTATTACTTGTTCTAGTGTGAGTAACGATTAAAATATTTACCAATTTTGAATAAATATTATACTCCTATAAAGTAGTGTACCTACGTACTTAAGTGTATAATGCTATTAACTCTATCTTGAATGTTTAAATAACTTACCCCGCCGGGATTTATAATAATCCCGGTCATGGCTGACGTCACTAGCGTGATGTCATAGTAAACCCGGATTCGTATGAATACCGGAGCCGGGAGGCTAGTCATAAATAAATTTGAACTATTGTTTTGTTCTTCGAAATTCGAGTTCATAACCATGTTTATCTTGCAGCTAAGTGCTGATTCCATTTCGGTCTTACC